ACAACAATCTTTAATCATGAATATAAACCACATTATTTAACAAAAAAACAATATCAAGAATAAAGTCTAACAAATAACAATGTCTAACAACAAACAATAATCATTTAACCACGAAAAATAATCATGTCAATTTCAATCAATATCATAGTAATTTCACAAAATTTCAACTCTATTTAAACTAAAATGCTCTTAGTTTCACAAAAACATAACCATTTTTACCTAATTTCATGCCAATTTCAACCAATATTAAAGTAAACTTATATAATTTCAAACCAATTTCACCTAAAATTTTATCAATTTTACAAAAATATCAATTTCATAAAGAAAAGTGGAATAAAAATTTAAAAAAACTTTGCTGGAGGAGGAGGATGGAGGAGGACGTCGGTGACTAGAGGACGAGGCCGGCGACCTGCGAGGATGACGCTGAACCGGCTAGGAGGACGACGACGACGACGACGTGGCAGGCGAGCAGAGGAGGCGGCGCATAGACTTCATGGGACCATTTCCTCCTTCAAATGATTTTTAGTACATTTTGGTTTTTATCGACTACATGTCTAAGTGGATAGAGGCAGTGGCCACTAGGGATGATAGTTCTCAAACTGTGGTTAAAAAGTTGAGGGAACTGATTTTGAATAGGTATGGCATACCTTAAGCATTGATTAGTGAAAGAGGAACTCATTTTTGTCATAGGAATATGTCAACTATTTGTGCGAAGTACCATATTACACAAAGGATTTCTACTGGCTACCACCTCAGTGTAATGGTCACGTAGAAATTTCAAATAGAAAAATCAAGAGAGTCCTTGAAAAGGTAGTCAGACGAAATAGGAAAGATTGGAGTTAAATAATTGAAGATTCTTTGTGGGCAATTAGGATAGCCTTTAAGACACCTTTAGGTATGTCTCCTAGGGTAGTTTTTGGTAAGGCTTGTCATCTGCCTGTTGAACTGAACATGAATCCTTTTGGGCCATCAAAGAAGTGAATCTTGAGTCTGATCTTAGTAGACAAGAAAGGCTGTTGCAGCTAGTTAAATTAGAGCAAATTAGACTTGAAGCTTATGACAATTCTGTCATATACAAAGAAAAAACAAAATTGTGGCATGACTCTAATTTTAGAAAGAAAGAGTTTCACACTGGTGACAAAGTACTTTTGTTTAATTCAAGAGAGAAGATGTTCCCAGGCAAGCTCAAGTCTAAGTGGCTAGATCCTTTTATAGTTTTCCATGTGTATGATTATGGTGCAATTCAAATTAAAAGTAGTTCTTGTAACAATTGTTTCAATGTCTTCTGTGAAAGACATGAAGATACGGATGAACATACTTTACTTACTTGTGAACTATCTAACAACATCTGGAATGCCTTTGCCACTTATATTGGAGGTCCTAATACGGGAGATGGTACAAACCTGGATATGCATCTTTTATATTGGTGGACTTCACACTACAAAACAACTCTCTGAGGCCTTCTTAAACTGGTCCTCTTGGGATGCATCCTTTGGAATTTGTGGAAATCCTACAACAAAAGCAAGTATGAAGAAATTAAAATGACCAAGATTGGGATTATCATTGAAATACAACAACAGATTCAAAGTTGGTTTTGGTCCGATAAACGAGCCCAGAAACTTGCGACTAAGGAGGAAATTGAGGGGCTCAATCTTCAAATCTCACCTCATAAAAGATGGAAGGAATGACAGAGCAGCAGAAAATGAAGAAGAGATGATTCTATACACACACACACACACACACTCCCTCCATCCCAGTATATTTGTCCAGTTTGACTTTTTTGAGTCAAACTGGACAAACTTTGAGCTTCAATTAAATAAAAACCGTAATGTATTTTAACATAAAAATGACTTTATTGGATTTATCGTATTGAGAACTTTCTAAATTGTATTTCATTATGCTAATATGCAATATAAATTTAGAGTAATTGGAGTTCAAAGTTTGTCTAGTTTGACTCGAAAAAGTCAAAATGGACAAATACACTGGGACGGAGGTAGTGTGTGCGTGTGTGTGTATATATATTGGTTTTCTGGTGAGAATGCGATCTTATGAAAGAAATAAGAATGAATCTGGTGCTTTAGATTGTGAGATCTAAGAGTCGGGATTGCATCAAAATTAGGTGCACCAAAATTATTTTAAAATGCATCATATCGAAATGCACCAGAAACCTTTGAAAATGCACTATCTCAAAATCTGTGCGCAAGATGCAATCTGAGCCGCACGATGCATCAGATCCAAAGGTTAGATTTTATTCTTATTTCTTTCACCAAGGTGCATTCTCACCTGAACCGGCCTATATATATATATATATATATATAGACACACACACACACACATACATATATATATATATATATATATATATATATATATATATATATATATATATATATATAAAGTTGATGAACAGGTGGTTACAGACTTCTTCACAGGAGAAGAGGGGGAAAACCCTCTTGGTAGTTGTGATTAAACTTCCATTTAATGTGATTTTAGTTACTATTTGGTATTGCTTAGGTTTTTGGTATTTAGGACTACAAAAATGACATTATTAGGCATGGGTAACTCTTTAATTTGTTGATGTCCTGGGTCTTGGCAACTCTCTATTGGTCAAGCCATTTCATGGGATAACTCCTAAGATAGTATCTTTGGCTGTTTTTGGTTCAATGGAACTCAACATATACTTGTTTAAGAGGAGGTAATAATGTGGCTGGTTGGGGCAGAAGTATGCAGAAGAAAGCATCCGACTCCATGCGTATTTTCTTTGGTAGTGCTCTGAGGTTTTTTGTTTGGTTGTTTATTGTGGCATCCCTCATGCGTGAGAAGGTATATGGTACATCCGGATGTACCTAGAGATAGGTACATCCGGGTAGTACTTATTCTGAAGTTAAGTGGTACTCATTCTCGCACAAACATAACAGTTCATTTGAAATATCGTGGTACTCATTCTTAAATAAAGCAATACTCATTCTAAAATGACGTATTACTCATTTCACACATTTGTACAATATTCATTTACGAATAACGTAATACTCATTCTAAAACCTAATATTACTCATTCTCAAACAGTCTAGTACTCATTCTTAAATAACATATCATTCATAAAAATCTAAAATCTAGGACCAGATTGGAATTAGAACAGATTGAATTAGAGCGACCAGATCTGGCGGAATCTAAGATCGGAAGATTGAATTAGAGCGACCAGATCTGGAATAGTGGAATCTTGGATCGGAAGATCGATCTCGCCCTAACCTGCTGCCTTCATCGCCTACATCGCGGAGACGCAGAGCTGTTACGGCGACGGAGGAGGGTGGAGAGCAAGATGCTGGAGACGGGGGAGATGAACATAGCGACGAAGACGTTGAGGTGGGCGGCTGATTGAACCCTAATTTCAATCAATTTTAGTCCGGTTGTACGGGAAGAACCGTACAGCCAGATGTACAATATAATTTACGTTCATGCATAGTTCTTGTGTATTTTGGTACCTTTTTATTTTTCTCTTGGCATGTATATAGCAACGTTCTAGTGACACCGGAGAACGGTGCCACTGGGTTTTTGAGGCACCTCCGGTGCTCTGTTCGNCCCCCTAAACCCCCCACCCTACCACCACCCCCGCCCCAACCCCGCCGTAACCCCACCACAAAATGTGTGGCTATTATGCAACATAATAGCCACACATTTTGTGGTGGGGTTACGGCGGGGTTGGGGCGGGGGTGGTGGTAGGGTGGGGGGTTTAGGGGGTGGATTAGGGGAGGTAGGAACCGTCAATTTTACGAACAGAGCACCGGAGGTGCCTCAAAAACCCAGTGGCACCGCTAGTGGCACCGCTAGTGGCACCGTTCTCCAGGGTCACTAGAACAGGGCCTATATATATATATATATATATATATATATATATATATATATATATATATATATATATATATATATTATATACACACACACACACACACACACACACACACACACACACATATATATATATATATACATGTAAAATGGAGTTCCATGGTTGTGGTGACGACACATGTCATGCCACACGTGCATACTACTGACATGTGGCACACCACATGTAAATCACATGACATGTCTTTCCATGCATGCATACCATAGTTGTGGTGACGACACGTGTCATGCCACAGGTGCATACTACTGACATGTGTCACGCCACATGTAAATCACATGACACATGTATTTCCATGCATTCCTATTTAATTTTGTATTAAACAATCATTATTTTTATTATATTTTATAAACCCTTCACTTTCAAACAATAAAAACCCATTATTTTTATTATCTTTTTTATAAAGGTTTCGCTTTCTCACTATTTTAGAAATATTTTTTCATTGTTTTAACATATTTTTTAAACATGCACGACTATTTTATAATTTTAAAAAAATTATATAAAATTTATTTATTGAAAAAACAATGTTGCTTATAATTTCTAAAATTATCCATCATCTCAAAAGAAACTATCATATATAAATTTTATCACGCGTGCATCTTTATTAACTTCATACGGAGTAAAATATTTTAATTTTTTTTCTTATTACATTACTTATTTCATTATAAATTTTTTGCAAACTAAACAAAGTAAAAGTTTGACTGAACGATTACACGTGGCACATGACTAATATGCATTAAAATTTATTGCTCAATTGATCTATTTAAAAGATTAATAAAGTTTGACTCAAGGATTACTTGTTTCATTGCTTAATTGATCTATTTGAGATTTTTATTTTAATTCTTTGTTAATTAAAATTTATAAACTTTTTTAATCTTTTAAAAAAGAAAGCCTGATGTTGTTTCTAATAAAGTATTCATCATTTTCTATTTTATTACATCTCAAAATAAAGGTATATATAAATTTTAGTACATGTACATGAATATTAAAACTAAAATTTTTCTCTCAAAAAGAGATATTTTATACTAAAACATATTTATCAAACACATCATATATCATTAGAGAATTTAAAATAAAAAATATTTTATTTTTTAGATATCAAAATTCAGAAAATATGCGAGCCCGTGCGAAGCACATGATTAATACTAGTATTCACATAAAGTCATTGACCGAAAGAATGAGTACAGAAGAGTTAAAGGTGCACTCGAAGAAAATCAAAGGACAAATGAGAGTGATATTTAAGAGGCCAGGGTTAATTAATAATAGCACTGAATTAAATTAAACACAAGGTAATCAATATAGGTTCATTATAGTGGACGCCTGAATGGAGGATGCTGGCTGAAACAGCTCTTCTTAGTGTTGTGGCAGGAAACATTCTCCGGGCAACCCTCTTTTGAACTTCTTTACATCTTTGCAGTAGTCATAAACAATATAGTTTCTCCTAACCCAGTCCATTTGCCCGGCCTTTGCATCACTCAGCCGGCTAAATGCACCCGTGTTGGTTTCTAAAGGCGTTACACACTGCCTGATATTCTCCGGCGCTTTCAAGGGGCACCCACTTGACCTGAAATTCCGCAACTTGGCCACAAATGGAGCATTGCTCCATTCAATTTTGTCGAGGCCAGCCCTCGTCGCCCAGTCTTCTGCATTCCAAATGCTTGAGTACGCGTGCATGCCTTGTTGGTTTGGGAAGGCAATCCCTTCGCTCGTGTAGTTCCTATATACCCTTATCGGAATCCCATCAACATACCATCTGAAAATCCAAACATACCATCCGGAAGGTGTGAGAGGCTAAAATATATTCAAGAACCAAGCGCTTTACCAATTTGCGTAATACTTACACAACAGCATTTGGGTTCCAATGAATGGTGTAGTTGTGGTAGTCGGCAGTAGGGTCAAACCAAGGGTAGTATTGCACTTCCCGGCCACCCCCACCCTGAGTGAAGATGTTTGTGTGGATGATGTAAGGTTTCCCAGTCACATTTCCTAGAAACTCAAAGTCGATTTCATCATGATTGACTCCATTTGAAGAGAGCTGTGAACCAACGAGATACACGAATTATTTGTTGGATTTACAGAAAATATATAGTGAAATAGTGGAAAGTGCAATAGAAGGGATGATAAGTATTTAAGAAGGATAATGTATAGCAAGTATAATGTTCCAGAGGATTACAGGGAAACGCGAATGAAAAAATCTGTTTAGACCCAATTTCAATGTATTGGTAAAAGTATCATGAAACATATACTCTGTATTTGATCAATAATTCAATACTTATGACACATGTTGATAACATGATGCTATATGCTTGTGAAATTTTCGTCACACTCTGCTCCGGGGGAAATGTAAAACATATTCAGTCATTGATTCATTCTAAATTACACTAGCAAGCATTTACTGTGACGCGCATTTATGGAGTTCTACTTTTATGTTTGTTCATTAACAGAAAGCAAACAAAAAACATGGAGTGGAATGGAACGTACATAGAATGCTGTGACTGTTCCTGCAGAGTTGCCCGGTACCAACTTCATCTGCATCTCAAAGCTTCCAAATAAGTAATTGCTCTTTGATTGAACACCAGAACCTACTCACAGATTTTGGGTTAGTTAGGTTCAACCATTAAAAGTAAGCAAAAAACGGTTTGGATTTCACATTGAACAAATTTCCAAGAGCACTTTATTGATAAAGTAATACAAAACGAATCAAAGCGAACTCTCCAAAAGCACTTTGTCAAAAAAAAAGCAATAACTTTTGAATCATCTAAAAGCATTATTGTCAGATATCAGAAGACGCTTTTTGGGTGCCTACGATTTTGTAATGCGAGATGAGTCATTAATGATTTCGAAGTACTTAGGCGGGATGAGAGAAAGCGCTTCAATACGGTAGAATGTGGTCTCAGAAATCTACTTTCGTACATTCATAGCCTACAAAGTCTGCTTTTTAACTTAAACCGGTTGCTCAAGATCATTGGTCTTTACGTAAAAACTGATAGTTTTGAGTCTACAACCACAAGCTTGAGTTTTTTGTTGAGTTGGCTCCTTTTAGGACTAGTTAACTTCAGAGTTCAGACTGACAACATTGTGACATTATGGTGAGGGTGGGTTATTTTCTAAATTAATACTAATTGCATTAAAAATTTAAAATAATGATATTCTTTGATTTAATTTTTGTTCCTCCCAAAATAGGGAGTACTCCGTAATAGGGAGCAACAACTTTTCTGAACTCTGATTTAAAAAGCATTCGAGCACAATGACTTTTTAGATTTCCTAATTCCTACCTTTTCTCAAACACTTTTTGACTAAGCAATTACGGAGTATTGGCTATTTTTCTTGGCAAAAAAAAAAAAACTGGATAGTGCGAATTAACATTTTCAGTTCTCTTAATATCTTGAGAACCACAGATCGGGAGAGGGAGTATCCGGGTATATGAATATGAATTAAAGGAACGTTTACGAAATAGAGAAAATTAGAGATTCAATTGAAAGTTTGCCTGAGATTTGGTCGAGGACGAGCTGAAGATCATCGCCTTGAATCATGGAATGATTGGCGCCGCCCCAGTAGATGAACATACTGCTAGCTATGTCGGCATTGATAGCTAAAATCAACTGGAAAGCAATGGCTGAGATTAACAGAGCCGCAGTTGATAAAACCCCGAAAGCATCTGCCATTTCTACCACATCCAGCTGCTGCTGCTAATTCTATTACTCTCTATTTGTTCTTTCTCTAGTTTTTGTGGGTTCACGAGTCACTGCCTGCACAATAAAGTCTTCCAAGTTCGAAACCGTGTTTTTTTCAAAGGATCTAAACAGTAATTTTGATGCCATTTGTCTCTACATATATCCCAAAATTTGTACCCCATTTGTACACTAAAAGTATACACCAACATTTTGATGGTTCACACTAACACAAAGTATTGTTGCGTTAACAAAAATTTACACTAATACAAAGTATTGGTGCGTTAACAAAAATTAGCATTACACCAATACAAAATATTGGTGCATTCCTGCGGTATACAAAATGAGGTACAAATTCTTGGAGTATAAGTAGCTTTATCCTTTGTCTCTAAAGAGTAATTTTCATGCCATTGGTCCCACACTCTCACATCCGCCCGAACGGTTACTGAGTACTGATATGAGATAAATTCGGCTTTGTTTCATAAATCAACTCAAATAGAAATAAAGCATATTATTTTTCCTCGACTTACTCTATTTTTTTGGTATTATTGGCATTGTTGGAGCTCTTACTTTGATACTTTCTTTATGTTTTAATCTCAATTTAGGCAGCATTTTGTTCAACTTTTTTTCTGCTTATTACTTATTTTTCAACTCTTACTTCTATTAAAAATATTATTATTGTTACTATTGTTATTATTACTATAACTATGATTATTATTATTACTATTGTTAGCATTATTATTATTATTATTATTATTATTATTATTATTGTAGTTATTATAATTATTACTATCCTTATTATAATTATTACTGTTACTATTTCTATTATTATTATTACCATTTTTAATATTTCTATTATTATTATTACTATTATTATAACTATTTTAATTTTAATTTTAATTTATATCAAATTTCTTAATGTTATTATTATTATTATTACTATTATTAGTATTATTTTTATTGTAGTTATTATAAGTATTACTCTTCTTACTATTATTATTATTATTAGTATTACTATTACTATTATTATTTCTATTGTTATTACTATTATTAATAATTCTATTAATACTATAACTACTATTTTTATAACTATTATAATAATAAATTTAATTTAAATTTAAATCAAATGTATATTAGATCAGATCAATCAGATCAGATCAAACACGATTAGATTAGGTGAGATCAGATCCAATCAGACCTGATCAGATGACATCCTATCAGATCAGAACAGACCAGATTAGAACTTTAAAAAATCAGATCAAGCGAACAGAACGCAGCATTAGTAGTCTTTTTCTCTTAAAATTTTAAGCAAAGAACTAAAATAAAACATGGAAAAAGTATCAAAATAAGATCTCTATATTTTTATATCTAAAATAGAGGTACAATGTCAATAATAACAATATATAGTACAAAAAATACAATAGAATACCATTATATAGTGCCATAAAATATCACGATAGAAACTCTATTTGGGAGATAAAAACATCAAACCCTAATTTTGAGGACAAATGCTATATTTTACTTCTATTTGGGTTGATTTCTTTTAAGTTTTAGCCCTCCGTCCCGCAATGATAATTCACAACTTTTTTATCTTTCCCGGGAAAAAAAATCAATTACACTTTTGGAAGAGCTGTTGTGGCTACTATTTACTTCTCTATCCTCTTTACCACTTTCTACCATACAATTTTATTTTTCTTTATCGTTGTACCTGGTTAATTATAGAACATTATTACGGGATGGAGGGAGCATTTCATTACGATACAACTTTGAATTATTGTAATTTTAATTGTGAGATATTTTCGGGGCGTTACATTTCTCTCCCCCTTAAAATAATTTCATCCTTGAAATTACCTAAGTTCTTAGTTGCTGAAGAGATTTGGGTACTGGGTTGTCATTGATTCTTCGGTTTCCTAATTTGCCTCTTCACTAGAAAGATTCCTCAAGAGTACTTTGACTAATGGGGCAGATTTGTTTCTCAATTCTTTCACTTCTCGTGCTAGTATCTAAACAGGTTCTTCTTCGTAGGTCAAACGTTTATCAAGGGTCACATTTCCATCAGGCATTACATGTGATGGATCTGAATGATAATGTTTCAACATGGAAACGAGGAATACATCGTGGATTTTGTTCAATTCTTGCAGTAGTTCCAAGCAATAGGCTACTGGTCCCACACGTTCCGTGATTCGATAGGGTCCAATATACCTTGGGCTTAGTTTTCCCTTCCTTCCAAATCTTAGTACCTTTTTCCATGGTGACACTTTTATAAACACCATGTCGTCCACATTTTATTCAATCTCATGATGTTTTAAGTCGGCATAGGATTTTTTTCGGTCTGAAGAAACTTGTAATCCATCTCTGATCAAGCAAACTTTTTCTTCCGTTGCATGGACTAAGTTGGGTCCTTCAAGTTTCTGTTCACTGAATTCTGTCCAACAAACTGGAGTTTTGCAACGCCTTCCATACAATACTTCGTATGGAGCCATCTGGTTGCTAGCTTGATAACTATTATTATAAGCAAACTCCATCAATGGTAGGTGTTGTTCCCAGTTTTTCCAAGGTTGACAACACATGCTCTCATCATATATTCTAAAATTTGAATTGTCCTCTCAGACTGTCCATATGTTTGAGGATGAAATGCGGTGCTGAAATTAAGTTTAGAACCTATTGCTTTCTGCAGGCTCTTCCAAAATTGTCATGATCTGAAATGATAGACAAAGGTACTCCGTGTAATCTCATAATTTCACAGATCTACAACTTTGCTAATCTTTTCAATAATGTGTCTCATCAGATCGGTATGGAATGAGCTGACTTGGTCAATCAGTCCCCTAATATCCAGACAACATCATTCTTCCTGACTGAAAAGGGAAGTTCAATCACAAAGTCCATTGTAATCCGTTTCCACTTTCATTCAGGAACGTTTAATCACAAAGTCCATTGTAATTATATATGGTATGCTTTGGATTTCATGCTTGAATGGTTGCTCATACTTATCTTATATGCCTATTTATGATATGTTACTACCCCACCGTTTTGAATATTGCCAAAAGGGGGAGAAGTATTAGGCTTTCATATGCATGTATTTAGGGAGAGTTTTTGTGAAAAACCTAAGTGCATAAACTTAGGGGGAGTTTTCAAAATTAAATATGCTTTCAAGTTATGTTTGTGCGTTTATGATATTTGAAAGCCTTATTTGTCAACACCAAAAAGGGGGAGATTGTTGGCCTTGAATGCCGTACCCCGTATCCGTTTTAATGTGCCAAATAAGTCTTCCAAAGGTACTAACATTTTTTGCAAGAAAAACCAAATGCCCAACCTCTCCTAACTTGATTAGCATCACCGAGAAGTACTCCTACGAGTGTAGAAATTTTATTTATAAGGGTAATGATCTATTAGATGATGCACTTATGCCCTTTCACTTAAAATACATTTTATAATATATGAAACATTTTTTTAGTAGGGGTTATTTTGAAAATGGAATACCAAAATCAAGTTTTGGAAAATGAAAAGTTGACCTAACAATACCTCTATACCGTCTACACGGTACCTAGGTACCGCCGATATCCACAAACCGGAAGAGGGTCCTGTCTTGAGCTAGGTTCCTCCAGAGAGTTTTGAATCTTTTGGTGGTACCCCTAGCAGTAGGCCATACCGTGGCCACGGTACCTCCCTACCGTAAAGCGTACCGTGACCGTTGCCTGCAGTATAGCTGATTGGTGATTTTAAATTTAAATTACCCCTAATCACTCTCCAATGGTCCTAAACGTATCCTAATCACTTTTAACCTTCCTAAACCCTATATAAACCCCCTCTAAGTCTCATTTTTCATACAACAACATCCCATAACCCACTATTATTTTTTTAGTGTTCTTAAACTTTATTCTTTATTTTCATCACTCTTTTGAGTTTGAGCTCTCATTACTTTTATACACTCACACACAAGGGCATTTCTGATTCATTATTTTATATCTTTCTCATAGGTTGTTGTTGTTGTTGATTTCATATTTTGTTCTTCTCCTACCTAACTCATACTCTTTATTTTTTGGTAGATAAGCAACACCATATCTCTCTTATTTTGTAAAAGGTGTGGATAGCCTCTAAATCCTCATTGAGTTGAAAGGTTGAATATAGCCTTAAAATCTTCATTTGTAAAGAGGTCGAGATAGGCGTTGTAAAATCTCGTTACTTATTGGCAAGGGTTGTTTGCCAAATCTCGTTTAAGTCTTCTTAGAGAAACGAAACAAGTTAATGGAGGTTAAATCCTTGAGGAGGAGCCTCGAGGTACTAGAGTAGGGAGTTGCCGAACCATTATAAAATCATTGTGTCGTGCTCTTTTCTTTCTTATTATTTTCATTTCTCTTTTTCCGCTCTTTACGTTCGTTTAAGTTTTTACTTTGCGAAAATATAATAAACACCCTAATTCACCCCCCTCTGAGGGTGTAACCAAATATCAGAGGAGGTATCGAAACTAGCGGTTCCAGGTCTGGTCCAGTCCTAGCCTATTTGAACTTTTCATTATTAAGTGGTCAGGGGGTGGCTTTTGCAGTCTGTGAGATTGGCATGACCATCCCAACAGCTATAAAGCCGTTTGGTAGGGCTAGGGGGTGGGTGAGGGTAAAATAATTCTATAAATACCTGTAATTGTTTTTCAAAAATTTACACAATCCTTCTCTATTCCCTATATCTCTCAGACTCTGGTCTATTTTCTTATATGTTCATATAATTTTTATAAATATATTAATATATTTTAAATATTTTAACTATATTATAATAAACTAATAATTTCATATTATAATTTATAATATATTATTCATATTAGAACATTATAATATAAATATATTGTATCATTGTATTATCTATCTTAATGTTTATATAATTCAAAATGTCGCAAAGAAGGCTCGTCGATATGGCGATATTTGAACCAAAGAATTTCAAAGAGAAGTAAAGGCACCACCACGTCCGAAAGTTCAAGCTCACATATCTCCCAACTGAGAAACCCTCTCTCGATTTTTATGAGAATCTCAGAGGCATATCTAGCTGACATAATGGACGACCAAGAATTTGATCGGTTATTGGGTTCGAGGAATAATGTGTGTCTTA